GAGATTCATGCATTTCCTCATAGTGAGTGCTGTGAGTCTAGGGGCTATACGTGCTATGCTTTGCAAGCCTTGGCTGGCTACCACACGTTTGTTGAACCGCCACTGCCTTCGATGATACTGCACGAGATTGTTGACTGAATGTGATACCCGCCGCAATCTGGAAAAACGAATGAATATTTAGATATTTGTGTGTATCATGCTCGTGTATGTACGCAGATATACGTGTTAGTGTTTGATGGTATATATGCAAGTGTATGTGCTTATGTGTATACATGAGAGGAAAGTGACAGAATGCTACCGATGCCGCTATGTAAGAGAATTACGCAGAAGTTCACTCGTAGTTAAACATATATAAACAGTTACTAAAATACTTGCTAATAATAAACGTACTCGAGCAGAGCAACTTCCTTCTTCTCGTCGCAGCGTTGAATTGTCAGCACCAGACTATCGAGGAGAATAATCACATCCATCCTCTGATACTCATATGTAACAATATATGCGTAGTGAAACATATGCTGTTGTACTTATTGGTTCACTTAGAGATGAGATGAACATATAGGCATTCGATATTATCTGTTGTTTACCCTACATCATTGTAGACAAAGAACATTGCCTAGCGACTTCTTCTGGTCGCAGTGGTGTAAACTGAACATCGAAATCTTGGCAGAATCATCACATTCATATATTGCATACATATATGTTACAAGTACATGGGTGCCAAGACACACACGCTGATGCACATCAAATTTAACTCGAAAATGTCTATCTATATATACATACTCGAAAAAGTAATCACATGGTGTTATAGCCACTCATAGATACATACCGAGAGGACATACTCTAGCAAATCGTGACAGTGCTATACAATCAACACCAGAATATTGGAGGCATTATCACTTCATCCATTGCGTACAAATATATTACGCCGTGCATGCGTGACTGGACACATATACAGATGCCCGTTTGATCAAACGTAAACATATATATATATATATATATATATGTATGTATGTATATATATATATATATATATATGTGTGTGTGTGTGTGTGTGTGTGTGTGTGTGT